TTAGCAACGAAGACTCTGCCGTTAAATAACACGCTAGGATGTGCGAATGTACGAAGGGATTTGTAAAAATAACTTTTATAACTTTGACCTGCACGCGTATATAAGCAAAACAAATCAAAAAATATTCCATACACGCCCACATGCACACGTATACAGTCGATGTAAATCATAAGAAGGCCACAGTCACCGTCATATCTATATGGGAAGAGAGGATGTAAATCACAGGTAATCCTTATCCAACCTCAAAATATTTACTGAATTAATTGATTCAAATCACAAGATATCTGTCTTGGCATTCAAGTACACACACGCAATTAATCTATTAAAATAAAAAGAAAACCTCATTCATACAACTTAACCCCCAGAAAATCTGCATTCACACTCTTATCCCACGATAACTGCATCCACACTCGCACACATGCGTTTACATCCGACTGAAATCGTAGGAATTCTGCGCACACAATCACTTGCATGTGTTTATAGTCGATCTAAATAACCAAAACTGCAGTTACGCTCAAAAGAATACGCATGTACGCATCTTTGCTCACTTACATGGTTACTTATTCTGTATAATTTTACAAGAAATCGGTATTCATGCTCATGCGGAAAATCTTCAATCACGCCAAAAATTATGCACTTACGCTTAAATTTTTATTAAAAAATGGCTTGAATATTAGGATTACTGCATTTTCGTTAACATACACATAAATATAATGGATTTAAAAATGATTAAACTGAAATCTGGCACAATTTTGTGCATATAAAATCAACTCAAAACACAAGAAATTTGCATTTCAGCTCAAATCCATACGCATATTAATAGTTAAATTTTCTAGAAATCAGCAACAACGAATAATTCCACAACAATCTTGCCGAAATTATTGGTGTCATGAGTAACCTTCAACGACGTGTTGACTAACTTGGGTGATGAAAACATAGGCACTCACCCACGCCAACTTTGAAAGTCGTTCAAGCCAAAATCATCAAAGCAGAAAGTGTCGCACTGATCAGGTGAGCTAGTGCATTTATTCTGGTTTGATTCCTAAACTCATTGGTTAGAATGATAGTGAACGATGTAGTGTGGAATCAGAAGAAAATAAATGCGCTAGCGCACTTCACTGTGGCACTATCTGCTT